CGGGGCGCTGCAGTGTTCCCCAGTGCACATCTGAGGGCGTGCCCGAGGCCTCTTCCGGTCCTTGTCTTCATCCTCATCCTCGTCCCCATACTCGTCCTCGTCCTGGGAAAGTCCTCTGAGTGCCTTCTCTGCCCCCAGATCCCGGCCCTGGCCCCGTGGCCAACAGCAGCTCCCGCGGCTCCTCCCCAGCGAAGGACATGGACAACGCCAAGGTGAGCCTGGAGCCCGTGCATGGGCCCAAGCCGCTCCATGTGCCTTCGGTTTCCACTCTGTTCTCCAGCTGGCCTGGGCGTGATGACCCCGCTGACTAGGTCACCATCTGACTGGGCCTTCACTAAGGCTCGGGCCGCGTGCTGAGTGCTGGAGCACAGCACACCTCACGCCCCTGCCTTGAGTGTTTGGTCAAGCAGGACTTGACCTCACAGTACCCAGAGCCCACCTGCAGTTCCCTAGCAGTCCTCCCACCTCAGCCTCCCGAGTGCGGGATGACCGGTATGCATCGCCACACTCGCGTGCGCTTGAATTTTGGGAGCAGCTGTTGGGGTCCTCAGGGTCTGTGCTAGGCAGACCCCTTGCAATGATGGGGATGAGGTGGGCGTGGGCTCTTGTGGGAGTGGGGAGCCAGTTCCAGGGCCCCCTGAATCCGACCCCGGGCGGCCCAGGCTGCTGTGCCTCCTGGTCCTTAGGCTGATGCCTTGGCAGCCTTCACACCGCATGGGGCCGCCTGCAATGGTCAGAGCTCCATGGACTGCCTCCCAAGCAGCCCAGGCACAGGCGCCTCCGCCAGCCCCTCCCTGTGCAGTGTCAACAGGCCGAGGTAGCTTCCTGTTCTCCCCAGATACCCCGGGACCCTGGGAGCCCTTGTGCCGCCCCTGTCGTGCCCAGGGCCACGCTCATGCTGGCAAGAGTGCAGCGAGCTGGTGCAGCGCCCCGCTGGCACCTCTGGAGCTCATCTCTGCACACAAGTGGGGCAGCGTGGTGACCATGCTCGATGCTTGGCTTGCTACTCAAGAGGGGCCAGTAGGGTCCGGGATCCCTTGACTCCTCTTGGGACGGGCAACCGGTTCACTGCCGAGCTCTAAACTGGGCCTGCTTCTGTTCGCAGGTGAGCATGGCCGTGAAGGGGCCCCCAGCCCATCCAGGGCCCCCGTTCCTGGGAGGCCCCATGCCGTCCCACGTGGACTATGGGTCGCCGCCGCCACCACTGCTCTGCAGATCCTTCGGGCCTCGGCCGATGTCTCCTAGGCCACCGCAACCATTCGGTACCGTAGGACACTTGGGCCGGCACCACCGCCTACCCTGTCCTCTCGCCTGCCCTGTCCTCTCTCCTCACCTGTCCTGATTGGCAGCTGCAGCCCGCCTGACTTGAAGCACGAGGCCCAGCACTCTGAGCCCAGTGCAGCCTCCACAGCTGCTTGGACCAGAAGGGCCCTTTCGGCAGAGCGAAAGCCAGTCTCAGCGGGGTGGTCACCTGGGACGCCACAGGCCGCTGGCAGTGGGAGAAGGGAGGGTCAGGCTGTGGTTGAGCCTTACTGAGCCTCAGTTTTCCTTATCTGTGATGTCCAGTGCATCACTCGACTTCCTGGCACAGGGGAAGGGAAACCCTTTCAGCAGACCTGGGCTGCTCCTCAGGACGTGTCCGCATGTCCCTCTTGCTTTCCAGTTGCACGCATGGGCCCACCACTGGGCTTAAGAGACTATGCGCCCGGCATGCTGCCCGGACGCCACGACCTGCCGCTACATCCCCGCGAGTTCTTGCCTGGACCTGTGCCATTCAGGCCTCCAGGCCCGCTCGGCGCCCGAGCATATTTCATTTCGGATCTGCGAATGCCACCCGCTGGACTCCAAGACTACCGACCACCACCTGCCGGGCCCCAGGATAACCCACCGATGCCTGCCGGGCCCCAGGACAACCCACCACCGCCTGCCGGGCCCCAGGACTACCAACCACCAAGTGCCGGGCTCCCGGACTACCCACCGCCGCCTGCCCGGCCCCACGACTACCCACCGCCGCCTGCGGGGGTCCCAGGAAAACCCACCACCAAGTGCCGGGCCTCAGGACCATGGATGGCCGCCCTCTGCGAGCCTAAACTTCGCATGCTGTGACATTCCCAGAGCCGACTTCGGTGAGCCTCTCCAGGGCCTCGAGTCCTGGGACTCCATGACAGCATGCTGCATTGCCCCGAGCATGGTTCCCTGGACTCTGGTACAGAGCCCGGGCACTCCTGGCTCGGGTTTCCACTTAGCCCTGGGTCCTGTGCAGGCCCAACTCCATTGCAGTGCAGGAGCAGGGTCCTGGGAGCAGTCGCCCACCCGGTCACTCCCAACCCTCTCTGGCTGTGGCATGGCAGAGGCCACAGTGTCGCCCTCTCCCTCTCTGCACAGTGTTCAATGAGTGGGCGCACTTTCGTCACCACTCACCTGCGGGCCACCAGGGACGGCTCCCGAGCTGGCAGGTCCGCGTGTTACTGGTTCTGTGCGCTGCTCCCAAAGCACGTGGCCGCTGTGTGCGGACTCAGTCTTCCTTGGCCCTGTCTTCCTCCTCCACAGCCTGAGACCTAAAGCAGCCTCCGCCTCTGGCTTGGGCTGCCACAACACAGCTTTCCCAGCTCCCCAGGTCCGCGAAGTGCTGACCAGGTGGAGCCCGCGCAGGCTGAGGCCTCCTTCGACCCCCCCACCCTCACTTGATGCCTGCTCAGTGAGCCTGGTACCTCTGGCTCCACTCGAGGGCTCCCTGGCCTCCTGCCTCCCACGGGCCTTGCAGCTGCCTGTCAGAGGCAGCCATGCCTCTGCTCCCTCCAGGGACAGTCCTCGGGGCGCTGCAGTGTTCCCCAGTGCACATCTGAGGGCGTGCCCGAGGCCTCTTCCGGTCCTTGTCTTCATCCTCATCCTCGTCCCCATACTCGTCCTCGTCCTGGGAAAGTCCTCTGAGTGCCTTCTCTGCCCCCAGATCCCGGCCCTGGCCCCGTGGCCAACAGCAGCTCCCGCGGCTCCTCCCCAGCGAAGGACATGGACAACGCCAAGGTGAGCCTGGAGCCCGTGCATGGGCCCAAGCCGCTCCATGTGCCTTCGGTTTCCACTCTGTTCTCCAGCTGGCCTGGGCGTGATGACCCCGCTGACTAGGTCACCATCTGACTGGGCCTTCACTAAGGCTCGGGCCGCGTGCTGAGTGCTGGAGCACAGCACACCTCACGCCCCTGCCTTGAGTGTTTGGTCAAGCAGGACTTGACCTCACAGTACCCAGAGCCCACCTGCAGTTCCCTAGCAGTCCTCCCACTTCAGCCTCCCGAGTGCGGGATGACCGGTATGCATCGCCATACTCGCGTGCGCTTGAATTTTGGGAGCAGCTGTTGGGGTCCTCAGGGTCTGTGCTAGGCAGACCCCTTGCAATGATGGGGATGAGGTGGGCGTGGGCTCTTGTGGGAGTGGGGAGCCAGTTCCAGGGCCCCCTGAATCCGACCCCGGGCGGCCCAGGCTGCTGTGCCTCCTGGTCCTTAGGCTGATGCCTTGGCAGCCTTCACACCGCATGGGGCCGCCTGCAATGGTCAGAGCTCCATGGACTGCCTCCCAAGCAGCCCAGGCACAGGCGCCTCCGCCAGCCCCTCCCTGTGCAGTGTCAACAGGCCGAGGTAGCTTCCTGTTCTCCCCAGATACCCCGGGACCCTGGGAGCCCTTGTGCCGCCCCTGTCGTGCCCAGGGCCACGCTCATGCTGGCAAGAGTGCAGCGAGCTGGTGCAGCGCCCCGCTGGCACCTCTGGAGCTCATCTCTGCACACAAGTGGGGCAGCGTGGTGACCATGCTCGATGCTTGGCTTGCTACTCAAGAGGGGCCAGTAGGGTCCGGGATCCCTTGACTCCTCTTGGGACGGGCAACCGGTTCACTGCCGAGCTCTAAACTGGGCCTGCTTCTGTTCGCAGGTGAGCATGGCCGTGAAGGGGCCCCCAGCCCATCCAGGGCCCCCGTTCCTGGGAGGCCCCATGCCGTCCCACGTGGACTATGGGTCGCCGCCGCCACCACTGCTCTGCAGATCCTTCGGGCCTCGGCCGATGTCTCCTAGGCCACCGCAACCATTCGGTACCGTAGGACACTTGGGCCGGCACCACCGCCTACCCTGTCCTCTCGCCTGCCCTGTCCTCTCTCCTCACCTGTCCTGATTGGCAGCTGCAGCCCGCCTGACTTGAAGCACGAGGCCCAGCACTCTGAGCCCAGTGCAGCCTCCACAGCTGCTTGGACCAGAAGGGCCCTTTCGGCAGAGCGAAAGCCAGTCTCAGCGGGGTGGTCACCTGGGACGCCACAGGCCGCTGGCAGTGGGAGAAGGGAGGGTCAGGCTGTGGTTGAGCCTTACTGAGCCTCAGTTTTCCTTATCTGTGATGTCCAGTGCATCACTCGACTTCCTGGCACAGGGGAAGGGAAACCCTTTCAGCAGACCTGGGCTGCTCCTCAGGACGTGTCCGCATGTCCCTCTTGCTTTCCAGTTGCACGCATGGGCCCACCACTGGGCTTAAGAGACTATGCGCCCGGCATGCTGCCCGGACGCCACGACCTGCCGCTACATCCCCGCGAGTTCTTGCCTGGACCTGTGCCATTCAGGCCTCCAGGCCCGCTCGGCGCCCGAGCATATTTCATTTCGGATCTGCGAATGCCACCCGCTGGACTCCAAGACTACCGACCACCACCTGCCGGGCCCCAGGATAACCCACCGATGCCTGCCGGGCCCCAGGACAACCCACCACCGCCTGCTGGGCGCCAGGCCTACCCACCACCACGTGCCGGGCACCAGCACTACCCACCACCGCCTGCCAGGCCCCAGGACTACCCACCGTCGCCTGCGGGGGTCCCAGGAAAACCCACCACCAAGTGCCGGGCCTCAGGACCATGGATGGCCGCCCTCTGCGAGCCTAAACTTCGCATGCTGTGACATTCCCAGAGCCGACTTCGGTGAGCCTCTCCAGGGCCTCGAGTCCTGGGACTCCATGACAGCATGCTGCATTGCCCCGAGCATGGTTCCCTGGACTCTGGTACAGAGCCCGGGCACTCCTGGCTCGGGTTTCCACTTAGCCCTGGGTCCTGTGCAGGCCCACCTCCATTGCAGTGCAGGAGCAGGGTCCTGGGAGCAGTCGCCCACCCGGTCACTCCCAACCCTCTCTGGCTGTGGCATGGCAGAGTCCACAGTGTCACCCTCTCCCTCTCTGCACAGTGTTCAATGAGTGGGCGCACTTTCGTCACCACTCACCTGCGGGCCACCAGGGACGGCTCCCGAGCTGGCAGGTCCGCGTGTTACTGGTTCTGTGCGCTGCTCCCAAAGCACGTGGCCGCTGTGTGCGGACTCAGTCTTCCTTGGCCCTGTCTTCCTCCTCCACAGCCTGAGACCTAAAGCAGCCTCCGCCTCTGGCTTGGGCTGCCACAACACAGCTTTCCCAGCTCCCCAGGTCCGCGAAGTGCTGACCAGGTGGAGCCCGCGCAGGCTGAGGCCTCCTTCGACCCCCCCACCCTCACTTGATGCCTGCTCAGTGAGCCTGGTACCTCTGGCTCCACTCGAGGGCTCCCTGGCCTCCTGCCTCCCACGGGCCTTGCAGCTGCCTGTCAGAGGCAGCCATGCCTCTGCTCCCTCCAGGGACAGTCCTCGGGGCGCTGCAGTGTTCCCCAGTGCACATCTGAGGGCGTGCCCGAGGCCTCTTCCGGTCCTTGTCTTCATCCTCATCCTTGTCTCCATACTTGTCCTCGTCCTGGGAAAGTCCTCTGAGTGACTTCTGTGCCCCCAGATCCCGGCCCTGGCCCCGTGGCCAACAGCAGCTCCCGCGGCTCCTCCCCAGCGAAGGACATGGACAACGCCAAGGTGAGCCTGGAGCCCGTGCCTGGGCCCAAGCCGCTCCATGTGCCTTCGGTTTCCACTCTGTTCTCCAGCTGGCCTGGGCGTGATGACCCCGCTGACTAGGTCACCATCTGACTGGGCCTTCACTAAGGCTCGGGCCGCGTGCTGAGTGCTGGAGCACAGCACACCTCACGCCCCTGCCTTGAGTGTTTGGTCAAGCAGGACTTGACCTCACAGTACCCAGAGCCCACCTGCAGTTCCCTAGCAGTCCTCCCACCTCAGCCTCCCGAGTGCGGGATGACCGGTATGCATCGCCACACTCGCGTGCGCTTGAATTTTGGGAGCAGCTGTTGGGGTCCTCAGGGTCTGTGCTAGGCAGACCCCTTGCAATGATGGGGATGAGGTGGGCGTGGGCTCTTGTGGGAGTGGGGAGCCAGTTCCAGGGCCCCCTGAATCCGACCCCGGGCGGCCCAGGCTGCTGTGCCTCCTGGTCCTTAGGCTGATGCCTTGGCAGCCTTCACACCGCATGGGGCCGCCTGCAATGGTCAGAGCTCCATGGACTGCCTCCCAAGCAGCCCAGGCACAGGCGCCTCCGCCAGCCCCTCCCTGTGCAGTGTCAACAGGCCGAGGTAGCTTCCTGTTCTCCCCAGATACCCCGGGACCCTGGGAGCCCTTGTGCCGCCCCTGTCGTGCCCAGGGCCACGCTCATGCTGGCAAGAGTGCAGCGAGCTGGTGCAGCGCCCCGCTGGCACCTCTGGAGCTCATCTCTGCACACAAGTGGGGCAGCGTGGTGACCATGCTCGATGCTTGGCTTGCTACTCAAGAGGGGCCAGTAGGGTCCGGGATCCCTTGACTCCTCTTGGGACGGGCAACCGGTTCACTGCCGAGCTCTAAACTGGGCCTGCTTCTGTTCGCAGGTGAGCATGGCCGTGAAGGGGCCCCCAGCCCATCCAGGGCCCCCGTTCCTGGGAGGCCCCATGCCGTCCCACGTGGACTATGGGTCGCCGCCGCCACCACTGCTCTGCAGATCCTTCGGGCCTCGGCCGATGTCTCCTAGGCCACCGCAACCATTCGGTACCGTAGGACACTTGGGCCGGCACCACCGCCTACCCTGTCCTCTCACCTCACCTGTCCTGATTGGCAGCTGCAGCCCGCCTGACTTGAAGCACGAGGCCCAGCACTCTGAGCCCAGTGCAGCCTCCACAGCTGCTTGGACCAGAAGGGCCCTTTCGGCAGAGCGAAAGCCAGTCTCAGCGGGGTGGTCACCTGGGACGCCACAGGCCGCTGGCAGTGGGAGAAGGGAGGGTCAGGCTGTGGTTGAGCCTTACTGAGCCTCAGTTTTCCTTATCTGTGATGTCCAGTGCATCACTCGACTTCCTGGCACAGGGGAAGGGAAACGCTTTCAGCAGACCTGGGCTGCTCCTCAGGACGTGTCCGCATGTCCCTCTTGCTTTCCAGTTGCACGCATGGGCCCACCACTGGGCTTAAGAGACTATGCGCCCGGCATGCTGCCCGGACGCCACGACCTGCCGCTACATCCTCGCGAGTTCTTGCCGGGACCTGTGCCATTCAGGCCTCCAGGCCCGCTCGGCGCCCGAGCATATTTCATTTCGGATCTGCGAATGCCACCCGCTGGACTCCAAGACTACCGACCACCACCTGCCGGGCCCCAGGATAACCCACCGATGCCTGCCGGGCCCCAGGACAACCCACCACCGCCTGCCGGGCCCCAGGACTACCAACCACCAAGTGCCGGGCTCCCGGACTACCCACCGCCGCCTGCCCGGCCCCACGACTACCCACCGCCGCCTGCGGGGGTCCCAGGAAAACCCACCACCAAGTGCCGGGCCTCAGGACCATGGATGGCCGCCCTCTGCGAGCCTAAACTTCGCATGCTGTGACATTCCCAGAGCCGACTTCGGTGAGCCTCTCCAGGGCCTCGAGTCCTGGGACTCCATGACAGCATGCTGCATTGCCCCGAGCATGGTTCCCTGGACTCTGGTACAGAGCCCGGGCACTCCTGGCTCGGGTTTCCACTTAGCCCTGGGTCCTGTGCAGGCCCAACTCCATTGCAGTGCAGGAGCAGGGTCCTGGGAGCAGTCGCCCACCCGGTCACTCCCAACCCTCTCTGGCTGTGGCATGGCAGAGGCCACAGTGTCGCCCTCTCCCTCTCTGCACAGTGTTCAATGAGTGGGCGCACTTTCGTCACCACTCACCTGCGGGCCACCAGGGACGGCTCCCGAGCTGGCAGGTCCGCGTGTTACTGGTTCTGTGCGCTGCTCCCAAAGCACGTGGCCGCTGTGTGCGGACTCAGTCTTCCTTGGCCCTGTCTTCCTCCTCCACAGCCTGAGACCTAAAGCAGCCTCCGCCTCTGGCTTGGGCTGCCACAACACAGCTTTCCCAGCTCCCCAGGTCCGCGAAGTGCTGACCAGGTGGAGCCCGCGCAGGCTGAGGCCTCCTTCGACCCCCCCACCCTCACTTGATGCCTGCTCAGTGAGCCTGGTACCTCTGGCTCCACTCGAGGGCTCCCTGGCCTCCTGCCTCCCACGGGCCTTGCAGCTGCCTGTCAGAGGCAGCCATGCCTCTGCTCCCTCCAGGGACAGTCCTCGGGGCGCTGCAGTGTTCCCCAGTGCACATCTGAGGGCGTGCCCGAGGCCTCTTCCGGTCCTTGTCTTCATCCTCATCCTCGTCCCCATACTCGTCCTCGTCCTGGGAAAGTCCTCTGAGTGCCTTCTCTGCCCCCAGATCCCGGCCCTGGCCCCGTGGCCAACAGCAGCTCCCGCGGCTCCTCCCCAGCGAAGGACATGGACAACGCCAAGGTGAGCCTGGAGCCCGTGCATGGGCCCAAGCCGCTCCATGTGCCTTCGGTTTCCACTCTGTTCTCCAGCTGGCCTGGGCGTGATGACCCCGCTGACTAGGTCACCATCTGACTGGGCCTTCACTAAGGCTCGGGCCGCGTGCTGAGTGCTGGAGCACAGCACACCTCACGCCCCTGCCTTGAGTGTTTGGTCAAGCAGGACTTGACCTCACAGTACCCAGAGCCCACCTGCAGTTCCCTAGCAGTCCTCCCACCTCAGCCTCCCGAGTGCGGGATGACCGGTATGCATCGCCACACTCGCGTGCGCTTGAATTTTGGGAGCAGCTGTTGGGGTCCTCAGGGTCTGTGCTAGGCAGACCCCTTGCAATGATGGGGATGAGGTGGGCGTGGGCTCTTGTGGGAGTGGGGAGCCAGTTCCAGGGCCCCCTGAATCCGACCCCGGGCGGCCCAGGCTGCTGTGCCTCCTGGTCCTTAGGCTGATGCCTTGGCAGCCTTCACACCGCATGGGGCCGCCTGCAATGGTCAGAGCTCCATGGACTGCCTCCCAAGCAGCCCAGGCACAGGCGCCTCCGCCAGCCCCTCCCTGTGCAGTGTCAACAGGCCGAGGTAGCTTCCTGTTCTCCCCAGATACCCCGGGACCCTGGGAGCCCTTGTGCCGCCCCTGTCGTGCCCAGGGCCACGCTCATGCTGGCAAGAGTGCAGCGAGCTGGTGCAGCGCCCCGCTGGCACCTCTGGAGCTCATCTCTGCACACAAGTGGGGCAGCGTGGTGACCATGCTCGATGCTTGGCTTGCTACTCAAGAGGGGCCAGTAGGGTCCGGGATCCCTTGACTCCTCTTGGGACGGGCAACCGGTTCACTGCCGAGCTCTAAACTGGGCCTGCTTCTGTTCGCAGGTGAGCATGGCCGTGAAGGGGCCCCCAGCCCATCCAGGGCCCCCGTTCCTGGGAGGCCCCATGCCGTCCCACGTGGACTATGGGTCGCCGCCGCCACCACTGCTCTGCAGATCCTTCGGGCCTCGGCCGATGTCTCCTAGGCCACCGCAACCATTCGGTACCGTAGGACACTTGGGCCGGCACCACCGCCTACCCTGTCCTCTCGCCTGCCCTGTCCTCTCTCCTCACCTGTCCTGATTGGCAGCTGCAGCCCGCCTGACTTGAAGCACGAGGCCCAGCACTCTGAGCCCAGTGCAGCCTCCACAGCTGCTTGGACCAGAAGGGCCCTTTCGGCAGAGCGAAAGCCAGTCTCAGCGGGGTGGTCACCTGGGACGCCACAGGCCGCTGGCAGTGGGAGAAGGGAGGGTCAGGCTGTGGTTGAGCCTTACTGAGCCTCAGTTTTCCTTATCTGTGATGTCCAGTGCATCACTCGACTTCCTGGCACAGGGGAAGGGAAACCCTTTCAGCAGACCTGGGCTGCTCCTCAGGACGTGTCCGCATGTCCCTCTTGCTTTCCAGTTGCACGCATGGGCCCACCACTGGGCTTAAGAGACTATGCGCCCGGCATGCTGCCCGGACGCCACGACCTGCCGCTACATCCCCGCGAGTTCTTGCCTGGACCTGTGCCATTCAGGCCTCCAGGCCCGCTCGGCGCCCGAGCATATTTCATTTCGGATCTGCGAATGCCACCCGCTGGACTCCAAGACTACCGACCACCACCTGCCGGGCCCCAGGATAACCCACCGATGCCTGCCGGGCCCCAGGACAACCCACCACCGCCTGCCGGGCCCCAGGACTACCAACCACCAAGTGCCGGGCTCCCGGACTACCCACCGCCGCCTGCCCGGCCCCACGACTACCCACCGCCGCCTGCGGGGGTCCCAGGAAAACCCACCACCAAGTGCCGGGCCTCAGGACCATGGATGGCCGCCCTCTGCGAGCCTAAACTTCGCATGCTGTGACATTCCCAGAGCCGACTTCGGTGAGCCTCTCCAGGGCCTCGAGTCCTGGGACTCCATGACAGCATGCTGCATTGCCCCGAGCATGGTTCCCTGGACTCTGGTACAGAGCCCGGGCACTCCTGGCTCGGGTTTCCACTTAGCCCTGGGTCCTGTGCAGGCCCAACTCCATTGCAGTGCAGGAGCAGGGTCCTGGGAGCAGTCGCCCACCCGGTCACTCCCAACCCTCTCTGGCTGTGGCATGGCAGAGGCCACAGTGTCGCCCTCTCCCTCTCTGCACAGTGTTCAATGAGTGGGCGCACTTTCGTCACCACTCACCTGCGGGCCACCAGGGACGGCTCCCGAGCTGGCAGGTCCGCGTGTTACTGGTTCTGTGCGCTGCTCCCAAAGCACGTGGCCGCTGTGTGCGGACTCAGTCTTCCTTGGCCCTGTCTTCCTCCTCCACAGCCTGAGACCTAAAGCAGCCTCCGCCTCTGGCTTGGGCTGCCACAACACAGCTTTCCCAGCTCCCCAGGTCCGCGAAGTGCTGACCAGGTGGAGCCCGCGCAGGCTGAGGCCTCCTTCGACCCCCCCACCCTCACTTGATGCCTGCTCAGTGAGCCTGGTACCTCTGGCTCCACTCGAGGGCTCCCTGGCCTCCTGCCTCCCACGGGCCTTGCAGCTGCCTGTCAGAGGCAGCCATGCCTCTGCTCCCTCCAGGGACAGTCCTCGGGGCGCTGCAGTGTTCCCCAGTGCACATCTGAGGGCGTGCCCGAGGCCTCTTCCGGTCCTTGTCTTCATCCTCATCCTCGTCCCCATACTCGTCCTCGTCCTGGGAAAGTCCTCTGAGTGCCTTCTCTGCCCCCAGATCCCGGCCCTGGCCCCGTGGCCAACAGCAGCTCCCGCGGCTCCTCCCCAGCGAAGGACATGGACAACGCCAAGGTGAGCCTGGAGCCCGTGCATGGGCCCAAGCCGCTCCATGTGCCTTCGGTTTCCACTCTGTTCTCCAGCTGGCCTGGGCGTGATGACCCCGCTGACTAGGTCACCATCTGACTGGGCCTTCACTAAGGCTCGGGCCGCGTGCTGAGTGCTGGAGCACAGCACACCTCACGCCCCTGCCTTGAGTGTTTGGTCAAGCAGGACTTGACCTCACAGTACCCAGAGCCCACCTGCAGTTCCCTAGCAGTCCTCCCACCTCAGCCTCCCGAGTGCGGGATGACCGGTATGCATCGCCACACTCGCGTGCGCTTGAATTTTGGGAGCAGCTGTTGGGGTCCTCAGGGTCTGTGCTAGGCAGACCCCTTGCAATGATGGGGATGAGGTGGGCGTGGGCTCTTGTGGGAGTGGGGAGCCAGTTCCAGGGCCCCCTGAATCCGACCCCGGGCGGCCCAGGCTGCTGTGCCTCCTGGTCCTTAGGCTGATGCCTTGGCAGCCTTCACACCGCATGGGGCCGCCTGCAATGGTCAGAGCTCCATGGACTGCCTCCCAAGCAGCCCAGGCACAGGCGCCTCCGCCAGCCCCTCCCTGTGCAGTGTCAACAGGCCGAGGTAGCTTCCTGTTCTCCCCAGATACCCCGGGACCCTGGGAGCCCTTGTGCCGCCCCTGTCGTGCCCAGGGCCACGCTCATGCTGGCAAGAGTGCAGCGAGCTGGTGCAGCGCCCCGCTGGCACCTCTGGAGCTCATCTCTGCACACAAGTGGGGCAGCGTGGTGACCATGCTCGATGCTTGGCTTGCTACTCAAGAGGGGCCAGTAGGGTCCGGGATCCCTTGACTCCTCTTGGGACGGGCAACCGGTTCACTGCCGAGCTCTAAACTGGGCCTGCTTCTGTTCGCAGGTGAGCATGGCCGTGAAGGGGCCCCCAGCCCATCCAGGGCCCCCGTTCCTGGGAGGCCCCATGCCGTCCCACGTGGACTATGGGTCGCCGCCGCCACCACTGCTCTGCAGATCCTTCGGGCCTCGGCCGATGTCTCCTAGGCCACCGCAACCATTCGGTACCGTAGGACACTTGGGCCGGCACCACCGCCTACCCTGTCCTCTCGCCTGCCCTGTCCTCTCTCCTCACCTGTCCTGATTGGCAGCTGCAGCCCGCCTGACTTGAAGCACGAGGCCCAGCACTCTGAGCCCAGTGCAGCCTCCACAGCTGCTTGGACCAGAAGGGCCCTTTCGGCAGAGCGAAAGCCAGTCTCAGCGGGGTGGTCACCTGGGACGCCACAGGCCGCTGGCAGTGGGAGAAGGGAGGGTCAGGCTGTGGTTGAGCCTTACTGAGCCTCAGTTTTCCTTATCTGTGATGTCCAGTGCATCACTCGACTTCCTGGCACAGGGGAAGGGAAACCCTTTCAGCAGACCTGGGCTGCTCCTCAGGACGTGTCCGCATGTCCCTCTTGCTTTCCAGTTGCACGCATGGGCCCACCACTGGGCTTAAGAGACTATGCGCCCGGCATGCTGCCCGGACGCCACGACCTGCCGCTACATCCCCGCGAGTTCTTGCCTGGACCTGTGCCATTCAGGCCTCCAGGCCCGCTCGGCGCCCGAGCATATTTCATTTCGGATCTGCGAATGCCACCCGCTGGACTCCAAGACTACCGACCACCACCTGCCGGGCCCCAGGATAACCCACCGATGCCTGCCGGGCCCCAGGACAACCCACCACCGCCTGCCGGGCCCCAGGACTACCAACCACCAAGTGCCGGGCTCCCGGACTACCCACCGCCGCCTGCCCGGCCCCACGACTACCCACCGCCGCCTGCGGGGGTCCCAGGAAAACCCACCACCAAGTGCCGGGCCTCAGGACCATGGATGGCCGCCCTCTGCGAGCCTAAACTTCGCATGCTGTGACATTCCCAGAGCCGACTTCGGTGAGCCTCTCCAGGGCCTCGAGTCCTGGGACTCCATGACAGCATGCTGCATTGCCCCGAGCATGGTTCCCTGGACTCTGGTACAGAGCCCGGGCACTCCTGGCTCGGGTTTCCACTTAGCCCTGGGTCCTGTGCAGGCCCAACTCCATTGCAGTGCAGGAGCAGGGTCCTGGGAGCAGTCGCCCACCCGGTCACTCCCAACCCTCTCTGGCTGTGGCATGGCAGAGGCCACAGTGTCGCCCTCTCCCTCTCTGCACAGTGTTCAATGAGTGGGCGCACTTTCGTCACCACTCACCTGCGGGCCACCAGGGACGGCTCCCGAGCTGGCAGGTCCGCGTGTTACTGGTTCTGTGCGCTGCTCCCAAAGCACGTGGCCGCTGTGTGCGGACTCAGTCTTCCTTGGCCCTGTCTTCCTCCTCCACAGCCTGAGACCTAAAGCAGCCTCCGCCTCTGGCTTGGGCTGCCACAACACAGCTTTCCCAGCTCCCCAGGTCCGCGAAGTGCTGACCAGGTGGAGCCCGCGCAGGCTGAGGCCTCCTTCGACCCCCCCACCCTCACTTGATGCCTGCTCAGTGAGCCTGGTACCTCTGGCTCCACTCGAGGGCTCCCTGGCCTCCTGCCTCCCACGGGCCTTGCAGCTGCCTGTCAGAGGCAGCCATGCCTCTGCTCCCTCCAGGGACAGTCCTCGGGGCGCTGCAGTGTTCCCCAGTGCACATCTGAGGGCGTGCCCGAGGCCTCTTCCGGTCCTTGTCTTCATCCTCATCCTCGTCCCCATACTCGTCCTCGTCCTGGGAAAGTCCTCTGAGTGCCTTCTCTGCCCCCAGATCCCGGCCCTGGCCCCGTGGCCAACAGCAGCTCCCGCGGCTCCTCCCCAGCGAAGGACATGGACAACGCCAAGGTGAGCCTGGAGCCCGTGCATGGGCCCAAGCCGCTCCATGTGCCTTCGGTTTCCACTCTGTTCTCCAGCTGGCCTGGGCGTGATGACCCCGCTGACTAGGTCACCATCTGACTGGGCCTTCACTAAGGCTCGGGCCGCGTGCTGAGTGCTGGAGCACAGCACACCTCACGCCCCTGCCTTGAGTGTTTGGTCAAGCAGGACTTGACCTCACAGTACCCAGAGCCCACCTGCAGTTCCCTAGCAGTCCTCCCACCTCAGCCTCCCGAGTGCGGGATGACCGGTATGCATCGCCACACTCGCGTGCGCTTGAATTTTGGGAGCAGCTGTTGGGGTCCTCAGGGTCTGTGCTAGGCAGACCCCTTGCAATGATGGGGATGAGGTGGGCGTGGGCTCTTGTGGGAGTGGGGAGCCAGTTCCAGGGCCCCCTGAATCCGACCCCGGGCGGCCCAGGCTGCTGTGCCTCCTGGTCCTTAGGCTGATGCCTTGGCAGCCTTCACACCGCATGGGGCCGCCTGCAATGGTCAGAGCTCCATGGACTGCCTCCCAAGCAGCCCAGGCACAGGCGCCTCCGCCAGCCCCTCCCTGTGCAGTGTCAACTGGCCGAGGCAGCTTCCTGTTCTCCCCAGATACCCCGGGACCCTGGGAGCCCTTGTGCCGCCCCTGTCGTGCCCAGGGCCACGCTCATGCTGGCAAGAGTGCAGCGAGCTGGTGCAGCGCCCCGCTGGCACCTCTGGAGCTCATCTCTGCACACAAGTGGGGCAGCGTGGTGACCATGCTCGATGCTTGGCTTGCTACTCCAGAGGGGCCAGCAGGGTCCGGGATCCCTTGACTCCTCTTGGGACGGGCACCCGGTTCACTGCCGAGCTCTAAACTGGGCCTGCTTCTGTTCGCAGGTGAGCATGGCCGTGAAGGGGCCCCCAGCCCATCCAGGGCCCCCGTTCCTGGGAGGCCCCATGCCGTCCCACGTGGACTATGGGTCGCCGCCGCCACCACTGCTCTGCAGATCCTTCGGGCCTCGGCCGATGTCTCCTAGGCCACCGCAACCATTCGGTACCGTAGGACACTTGGGCCGGCACCACCGCCTACCCTGTCCTCTCACCTCACCTGTCCTGATTGGCAGCTGCAGCCCGCCTGACTTGAAGCACGAGGCCCAGCACTCTGAGCCCAGTGCAGCCTCCACAGCTGCTTGGACCAGAAGGGCCCTTTCGGCAGAGCGAAAGCCAGTCTCAGCGGGGTGGTCACCTGGGACGCCACAGGCCGCTGGCAGTGGGAGAAGGGAGGGTCAGGCTGTGGTTGAGCCTTACTGAGCCTCAGTTTTCCTTATCTGTGATGTCCAGTGCATCACTCGACTTCCTGGCACAGGGGAAGGGAAACGCTTTCAGCAGACCTGGGCTGCTCCTCAGGACGTGTCCGCATGTCCCTCTTGCTTTCCAGTTGCACGCATGGGCCCACCACTGGGCTTAAGAGACTATGCGCCCGGCATGCTGCCCGGACGCCACGACCTGCCGCTACATCCTCGCGAGTTCTTGCCGGGACCTGTGCCATTCAGGCCTCCAGGCCCGCTCGGCGCCCGAGCATATTTCATTTCGGATCTGCGAATGCCACCCGCTGGACTCCAAGACTACCGACCACCACCTGCCGGGCCCCAGGATAACCCACCGATGCCTGCCGGGCCCCAGGACAACCCACCACCGCCTGCTGGGCGCCAGGCCTACCCACCACCACGTGCCGGGCACCAGCACTACCCACCACCGCCTGCCAGGCCCCAGGACTACCAACCACCAAGTGCCGGGCTCCAGGACTACCCACCGCCGCCTGCCCGGCCCCACGACTACCCACCGCCGCCTGCGGGGGTCCCAGGAAAACCCACCACCAAGTGCCGGGCCTCAGGACCATGGATGGCCGCCCTCTGCGAGCCTAAACTTCGCATGCTGTGACATTCCCAGAGCCGACTTCGGTGAGCCTCTCCAGGGCCTCGAGTCCTGGGACTCCATGACAGCATGCTGCATTGCCCCGAGCATGGTTCCCTGGACTCTGGTACAGAGCCCGGGCACTCCTGGCTCGGGTTTCCACTTAGCCCTGGGTCCTGTGCAGGCCCAACTCCATTGCAGTGCAGGAGCAGGGTCCTGGGAGCAGTCGCCCACCCGGTCACTCCCAACCCTCTCTGGCTGTGGCATGGCAGAGGCCACAGTGTCGCCCTCTCCCTCTCTGCACAGTGTTCAATGAGTGGGCGCACTTTCGTCACCACTCACCTGCGGGCCACCAGGGACGGCTCCCGAGCTGGCAGGTCCGCGTGTTACTGGTTCTGTGCGCTGCTCCCAAAGCACGTGGCCGCTGTGTGCGGACTCAGTCTTCCTTGGCCCTGTCTTCCTCCTCCACAGCCTGAGACCTAAAGCAGCCTCCGCCTCTGGCTTGGGCTGCCACAACACAGCTTTCCCAGCTCCCCAGGTCCGCGAAGTGCTGACCAGGTGGAGCCCGCGCAGGCTGAGGCCTCCTTCGACCCCCCCACCCTCACTTGATGCCTGCTCAGTGAGCCTGGTACCTCTGGCTCCACTCGAGGGCTCCCTGGCCTCCTGCCTCCCACGGGCCTTGCAGCTGCCTGTCAGAGGCAGCCATGCCTCTGCTCCCTCCAGGGACAGTCCTCGGGGCGCTGCAGTGTTCCCCAGTGCACATCTGAGGGCGTGCCCGAGGCCTCTTCCGGTCCTTGTCTTCATCCTCATCCTCGTCCCCATACTCGTCCTCGTCCTGGGAAAGTCCTCTGAGTGCCTTCTCTGCCCCCAGATCCCGGCCCTGGCCCCGTGGCCAACAGCAGCTCCCGCGGCTCCTCCCCAGCGAAGGACATGGACAACGCCAAGGTGAGCCTGGAGCCCGTGCATGGGCCCAAGCCGCTCCATGTGCCTTCGGTTTCCACTCTGTTCTCCAGCTGGCCTGGGCGTGATGACCCCGCTGACTAGGTCACCATCTGACTGGGCCTTCACTAAGGCTCGGGCCGCGTGCTGAGTGCTGGAGCACAGCACACCTCACGCCCCTGCCTTGAGTGTTTGGTCAAGCAGGACTTGACCTCACAGTACCCAGAGCCCACCTGCAGTTCCCTAGCAGTCCTCCCACCTCAGCCTCCCGAGTGCGGGATGACCGGTATGCATCGCCACACTCGCGTGCGCTTGAATTTTGGGAGCAGCTGTTGGGGTCCTCAGGGTCTGTGCTAGGCAGACCCCTTGCAATGATGGGGATGAGGTGGGCGTGGGCTCTTGTGGGAGTGGGGAGCCAGTTCCAGGGCCCCCTGAATCCGACCCCGGGCGGCCCAGGCTGCTGTGCCTCCTGGTCCTTAGGCTGATGCCTTGGCAGCCTTCACACCGCATGGGGCCGCCTGCAATGGTCAGAGCTCCATGGACTGCCTCCCAAGCAGCCCAGGCACAGGCGCCTCCGCCAGCCCCTCCCTGTGCAGTGTCAACAGGCCGAGGTAGCTTCCTGTTCTCCCCAGATACCCCGGGACCCTGGGAGCCCTTGTGCCGCCCCTGTCGTGCCCAGGGCCACGCTCATGCTGGCAAGAGTGCAGCGAGCTGGTGCAGCGCCCCGCTGGCACCTCTGGAGCTCATCTCTGCACACAAGTGGGGCAGCGTGGTGACCATGCTCGATGCTTGGCTTGCTACTCAAGAGGGGCCAGTAGGGTCCGGGATCCCTTGACTCCTCTTGGGACGGGCAACCGGTTCACTGCCGAGCTCTAAACTGGGCCTGCTTCTGTTCGCAGGTGAGCATGGCCGTGAAGGGGCCCCCAGCCCATCCAGGGCCCCCGTTCCTGGGAGGCCCCATGCCGTCCCACGTGGACTATGGGTCGCCGCCGCCACCACTGCTCTGCAGATCCTTCGGGCCTCGGCCGATGTCTCCTAGGCCACCGCAACCATTCGGTACCGTAGGACACTTGGGCCGGCACCACCGCCTACCCTGTCCTCTCGCCTGCCCTGTCCTCTCTCCTCACCTGTCCTGATTGGCAGCTGCAGCCCGCCTGACTTGAAGCACGAGGCCCAGCACTCTGAGCCCAGTGCAGCCTCCACAGCTGCTTGGACCAGAAGGGCCCTTTCGGCAGAGCGAAAGCCAGTCTCAGCGGGGTGGTCACCTGGGACGCCACAGGCCGCTGGCAGTGGGAGAAGGGAGGGTCAGGCTGTGGTTGAGCCTTACTGAGCCTCAGTTTTCCTTATCTGTGATGTCCAGTGCATCACTCGACTTCCTGGCACAGGGGAAGGGAAACCCTTTCAGCAGACCTGGGCTGCTCCTCAGGACGTGTCCGCATGTCCCTCTTGCTTTCCAGTTGCACGCATGGGCCCACCACTGGGCTTAAGAGACTATGCGCCCGGCATGCTGCCCGGACGCCACGACCTGCCGCTACATCCCCGCGAGTTCTTGCCTGGACCTGTGCCATTCAGGCCTCCAGGCCCGCTCGGCGCCCGAGCATATTTCATTTCGGATCTGCGAATGCCACCCGCTGGACTCCAAGACTACCGACCACCACCTGCCGGGCCCCAGGATAACCCACCGATGCCTGCCGGGCCCCAGGACAACCCACCACCGCCTGCTGGGCGCCAGGCCTACCCACCACCACGTGCCGGGCACCAGCACTACCCACCACCGCCTGCCAGGCCCCAGGACTACCCACCGTCGCCTGCGGGGGTCCCAGGAAAACCCACCACCAAGTGCCGGGCCTCAGGACCATGGATGGCCGCCCTCTGCGAGCCTAAACTTCGCATGCTGTGACATTCCCAGAGCCGACTTCGGTGAGCCTCTCCAGGGCCTCGAGTCCTGGGACTCCATGACAGCATGCTGCATTGCCCCGAGCATGGTTCCCTGGACTCTGGTACAGAGCCCGGGCACTCCTGGCTCGGGTTTCCACTTAGCCCTGGGTCCTGTGCAGGCCCACCTCCATTGCAGTGCAGGAGCAGGGTCCTGGGAGCAGTCGCCCACCCGGTCACTCCCAACCCTCTCTGGCTGTGGCATGGCAGAGTCCACAGTGTCACCCTCTCCCTCTCTGCACAGTGTTCAATGAGTGGGCGCACTTTCGTCACCACTCACCTGCGGGCCACCAGGGACGGCTCCCGAGCTGGCAGGTCCGCGTGTTACTGGTTCTGTGCGCTGCTCCCAAAGCACGTGGCCGCTGTGTGCGGACTCAGTCTTCCTTGGCCCTGTCTTCCTCCTCCACAGCCTGAGACCTAAAGCAGCCTCCGCCTCTGGCTTGGGCTGCCACAACACAGCTTTCCCAGCTCCCCAGGTCCGCGAAGTGCTGACCAGGTGGAGCCCGCGCAGGCTGAGGCCTCCTTCGACCCCCCCACCCTCACTTGATGCCTGCTCAGTGAGCCTGGTACCTCTGGCTCCACTCGAGGGCTCCCTGGCCTCCTGCCTCCCACGGGCCTTGCAGCTGCCTGTCAGAGGCAGCCATGCCTCTGCTCCCTCCAGGGACAGTCCTCGGGGCGCTGCAGTGTTCCCCAGTGCACATCTGAGGGCGTGCCCGAGGCCTCTTCCGGTCCTTGTCTTCATCCTCATCCTTGTCTCCATACTTGTCCTCGTCCTGGGAAAGTCCTCTGAGTGACTTCTGTGCCCCCAGATCCCGGCCCTGGCCCCGTGGCCAACAGCAGCTCCCGCGGCTCCTCCCCAGCGAAGGACATGGACAACGCCAAGGTGAGCCTGGAGCCCGTGCCTGGGCCCAAGCCGCTCCATGTGCCTTCGGTTTCCACTCTGTTCTCCAGCTGGCCTGGGCGTGATGACCCCGCTGACTAGGTCACCATCTGACTGGGCCTTCACTAAGGCTCGGGCCGCGTGCTGAGTGCTGGAGCACAGCACACCTCACGCCCCTGCCTTGAGTGTTTGGTCAAGCAGGACTTGACCTCACAGTACCCAGAGCCCACCTGCAGTTCCCTAGCAGTCCTCCCACCTCAGCCTCCCGAGTGCGGGATGACCGGTATGCATCGCCACACTCGCGTGCGCTTGAATTTTGGGAGCAGCTGTTGGGGTCCTCAGGGTCTGTGCTAGGCAGACCCCTTGCAATGATGGGGATGAGGTGGGCGTGGGCTCTTGTGGGAGTGGGGAGCCAGTTCCAGGGCCCCCTGAATCCGACCCCGGGCGGCCCAGGCTGCTGTGCCTCCTGGTCCTTAGGCTGATGCCTTGGCAGCCTTCACACCGCATGGGGCCGCCTGCAATGGTCAGAGCTCCATGGACTGCCTCCCAAGCAGCCCAGGCACAGGCGCCTCCGCCAGCCCCTCCCTGTGCAGTGTCAACTGGCCGAGGCAGCTTCCTGTTCTCCCCAGATACCCCGGGACCCTGGGAGCCCTTGTGCCGCCCCTGTCGTGCCCAGGGCCACGCTCATGCTGGCAAGAGTGCAGCGAGCTGGTGCAGCGCCCCGCTGGCACCTCTGGAGCTCATCTCTGCACACAAGTGGGGCAGCGTGGTGACCATGCTCGATGCTTGGCTTGCTACTCCAGAGGGGCCAGCAGGGTCCGGGATCCCTTGACTCCTCTTGGGACGGGCACCCGGTTCACTGCCGAGCTCTAAACTGGGCCTGCTTCTGTTCGCAGGTGAGCATGGCCGTGAAGGGGCCCCCAGCCCATCCAGGGCCCCCGTTCCTGGGAGGCCCCATGCCGTCCCACGTGGACTATGGGTCGCCGCCGCCACCACTGCTCTGCAGATCCTTCGGGCCTCGGCCGATGTCTCCTAGGCCACCGCAACCATTCGGTACCGTAGGACACTTGGGCCGGCACCACCGCCTACCCTGTCCTCTCACCTCACCTGTCCTGATTGGCAGCTGCAGCCCGCCTGACTTGAAGCACGAGGCCCAGCACTCTGAGCCCAGTGCAGCCTCCACAGCTGCTTGGACCAGAAGGGCCCTTTCGGCAGAGCGAAAGCCAGTCTCAGCGGGGTGGTCACCTGGGACGCCACAGGCCGCTGGCAGTGGGAGAAGGGAGGGTCAGGCTGTGGTTGAGCCTTACTGAGCCTCAGTTTTCCTTATCTGTGATGTCCAGTGCATCACTCGACTTCCTGGCACAGGGGAAGGGAAACGCTTTCAGCAGACCTGGGCTGCTCCTCAGGACGTGTCCGCATGTCCCTCTTGCTTTCCAGTTGCACGCATGGGCCCACCACTGGGCTTAAGAGACTATGCGCCCGGCATGCTGCCCGGACGCCACGACCTGCCGCTACATCCTCGCGAGTTCTTGCCGGGACCTGTGCCATTCAGGCCTCCAGGCCCGCTCGGCGCCCGAGCATATTTCATTTCGGATCTGCGAATGCCACCCGCTGGACTCCAAGACTACCGACCACCACCTGCCGGGCCCCAGGATAACCCACCGATGCCTGCCGGGCCCCAGGACAACCCACCACCGCCTGCTGGGCGCCAGGCCTACCCACCACCACGTGCCGGGCACCAGCACTACCCACCACCGCCTGCCAGGCCCCAGGACTACCAACCACCAAGTGCCGGGCTCCAGGACTACCCACCGCCGCCTGCCCGGCCCCACGACTACCCACCGCCGCCTGCGGGGGTCCCAGGAAAACCCACCACCAAGTGCCGGGCCTCAGGACCATGGATGGCCGCCCTCTGCGAGCCTAAACTTCGCATGCTGTGACATTCCCAGAGCCGACTTCGGTGAGCCTCTCCAGGGCCTCGAGTCCTGGGACTCCATGACAGCATGCTGCATTGCCCCGAGCATGGTTCCCTGGACTCTGGTACAGAGCCCGGGCACTCCTGGCTCGGGTTTCCACTTAGCCCTGGGTCCTGTGCAGGCCCAACTCCATTGCAGTGCAGGAGCAGGGTCCTGGGAGCAGTCGCCCACCCGGTCACTCCCAACCCTCTCTGGCTGTGGCATGGCAGAGGCCACAGTGTCGCCCTCTCCCTCTCTGCACAGTGTTCAATGAGTGGGCGCACTTTCGTCACCACTCACCTGCGGGCCACCAGGGACGGCTCCCGAGCTGGCAGGTCCGCGTGTTACTGGTTCTGTGCGCTGCTCCCAAAGCACGTGGCCGCTGTGTGCGGACTCAGTCTTCCTTGGCCCTGTCTTCCTCCTCCACAGCCTGAGACCTAAAGCAGCCTCCGCCTCTGGCTTGGGCTGCCACAACACAGCTTTCCCAGCTCCCCAGGTCCGCGAAGTGCTGACCAGGTGGAGCCCGCGCAGGCTGAGGCCTCCTTCGACCCCCCCACCCTCACTTGATGCCTGCTCAGTGAGCCTGGTACCTCTGGCTCCACTCGAGGGCTCCCTGGCCTCCTGCCTCCCACGGGCCTTGCAGCTGCCTGTCAGAGGCAGCCATGCCTCTGCTCCCTCCAGGGACAGTCCTCGGGGCGCTGCAGTGTTCCCCAGTGCACATCTGAGGGCGTGCCCGAGGCCTCTTCCGGTCCTTGTCTTCATCCTCATCCTCGTCCCCATACTCGTCCTCGTCCTGGGAAAGTCCTCTGAGTGCCTTCTCTGCCCCCAGATCCCGGCCCTGGCCCCGTGGCCAACAGCAGCTCCCGCGGCTCCTCCCCAGCGAAGGACATGGACAACGCCAAGGTGAGCCTGGAGCCCGTGCATGGGCCCAAGCCGCTCCATGTGCCTTCGGTTTCCACTCTGTTCTCCAGCTGGCCTGGGCGTGATGACCCCGCTGACTAGGTCACCATCTGACTGGGCCTTCACTAAGGCTCGGGCCGCGTGCTGAGTGCTGGAGCACAGCACACCTCACGCCCCTGCCTTGAGTGTTTGGTCAAGCAGGACTTGACCTCACAGTACCCAGAGCCCACCTGCAGTTCCCTAGCAGTCCTCCCACCTCAGCCTCCCGAGTGCGGGATGACCGGTATGCATCGCCACACTCGCGTGCGCTTGAATTTTGGGAGCAGCTGTTGGGGTCCTCAGGGTCTGTGCTAGGCAGACCCCTTGCAATGATGGGGATGAGGTGGGCGTGGGCTCTTGTGGGAGTGGGGAGCCAGTTCCAGGGCCCCCTGAATCCGACCCCGGGCGGCCCAGGCTGCTGTGCCTCCTGGTCCTTAGGCTGATGCCTTGGCAGCCTTCACACCGCATGGGGCCGCCTGCAATGGTCAGAGCTCCATGGACTGCCTCCCAAGCAGCCCAGGCACAGGCGCCTCCGCCAGCCCCTCCCTGTGCAGTGTCAACAGGCCGAGGTAGCTTCCTGTTCTCCCCAGATACCCCGGGACCCTGGGAGCCCTTGTGCCGCCCCTGTCGTGCCCAGGGCCACGCTCATGCTGGCAAGAGTGCAGCGAGCTGGTGCAGCGCCCCGCTGGCACCTCTGGAGCTCATCTCTGCACACAAGTGGGGCAGCGTGGTGACCATGCTCGATGCTTGGCTTGCTACTCAAGAGGGGCCAGTAGGGTCCGGGATCCCTTGACTCCTCTTGGGACGGGCAACCGGTTCACTGCCGAGCTCTAAACTGGGCCTGCTTCTGTTCGCAGGTGAGCATGGCCGTGAAGGGGCCCCCAGCCCATCCAGGGCCCCCGTTCCTGGGAGGCCCCATGCCGTCCCACGTGGACTATGGGTCGCCGCCGCCACCACTGCTCTGCAGATCCTTCGGGCCTCGGCCGATGTCTCCTAGGCCACCGCAACCATTCGGTACCGTAGGACACTTGGGCCGGCACCACCGCCTACCCTGTCCTCTCGCCTGCCCTGTCCTCTCTCCTCACCTGTCCTGATTGGCAGCTGCAGCCCGCCTGACTTGAAGCACGAGGCCCAGCACTCTGAGCCCAGTGCAGCCTCCACAGCTGCTTGGACCAGAAGGGCCCTTTCGGCAGAGCGAAAGCCAGTCTCAGCGGGGTGGTCACCTGGGACGCCACAGGCCGCTGGCAGTGGGAGAAGGGAGGGTCAGGCTGTGGTTGAGCCTTACTGAGCCTCAGTTTTCCTTATCTGTGATGTCCAGTGCATCACTCGACTTCCTGGCACAGGGGAAGGGAAACCCTTTCAGCAGACCTGGGCTGCTCCTCAGGACGTGTCCGCATGTCCCTCTTGCTTTCCAGTTGCACGCATGGGCCCACCACTGGGCTTAAGAGACTATGCGCCCGGCATGCTGCCCGGACGCCACGACCTGCCGCTACATCCCCGCGAGTTCTTGCCTGGACCTGTGCCATTCAGGCCTCCAGGCCCGCTCGGCGCCCGAGCATATTTCATTTCGGATCTGCGAATGCCACCCGCTGGACTCCAAGACTACCGACCACCACCTGCCGGGCCCCAGGATAACCCACCGATGCCTGCCGGGCCCCAGGACAACCCACCACCGCCTGCTGGGCGCCAGGCCTACCCACCACCACGTGCCGGGCACCAGCACTACCCACCACCGCCTGCCAGGCCCCAGGACTACCAACCACCAAGTGCCGGGCTCCAGGACTACCCACCGCCGCCTGCCCGGCCCCACGACTACCCACCGCCGCCTGCGGGGGTCCCAGGAAAACCCACCACCAAGTGCCGGGCCTCAGGACCATGGATGGCCGCCCTCTGCGAGCCTAAACTTCGCATGCTGTGACATTCCCAGAGCCGACTTCGGTGAGCCTCTCCAGGGCCTCGAGTCCTGGGACTCCATGACAGCATGCTGCATTGCCCCGAGCATGGTTCCCTGGACTCTGGTACAGAGCCCGGGCACTCCTGGCTCGGGTTTCCACTTAGCCCTGGGTCCTGTGCAGGCCCAACTCCATTGCAGTGCAGGAGCAGGGTCCTGGGAGCAGTCGCCCACCCGGTCACTCCCAACCCTCTCTGGCTGTGGCATGGCAGAGGCCACAGTGTCGCCCTCTCCCTCTCTGCACAGTGTTCAATGAGTGGGCGCACTTTCGTCACCACTCACCTGCGGGCCACCAGGGACGGCTCCCGAGCTGGCAGGTCCGCGTGTTACTGGTTCTGTGCGCTGCTCCCAAAGCACGTGGCCGCTGTGTGCGGACTCAGTCTTCCTTGGCCCTGTCTTCCTCCTCCACAGCCTGAGACCTAAAGCAGCCTCCGCCTCTGGCTTGGGCTGCCACAACACAGCTTTCCCAGCTCCCCAGGTCCGCGAAGTGCTGACCAGGTGGAGCCCGCGCAGGCTGAGGCCTCCTTCGACCCCCCCACCCTCACTTGATGCCTGCTCAGTGAGCCTGGTACCTCTGGCTCCACTCGAGGGCTCCCTGGCCTCCTGCCTCCCACGGGCCTTGCAGCTGCCTGTCAGAGGCAGCCATGCCTCTGCTCCCTCCAGGGACAGTCCTCGGGGCGCTGCAGTGTTCCCCAGTGCACATCTGAGGGCGTGCCCGAGGCCTCTTCCGGTCCTTGTCTTCATCCTCATCCTCGTCCCCATACTCGTCCTCGTCCTGGGAAAGTCCTCTGAGTGCCTTCTCTGCCCCCAGATCCCGGCCCTGGCCCCGTGGCCAACAGCAGCTCCCGCGGCTCCTCCCCAGCGAAGGACATGGACAACGCCAAGGTGAGCCTGGAGCCCGTGCATGGGCCCAAGCCGCTCCATGTGCCTTCGGTTTCCACTCTGTTCTCCAGCTGGCCTGGGCGTGATGACCCCGCTGACTAGGTCACCATCTGACTGGGCCTTCACTAAGGCTCGGGCCGCGTGCTGAGTGCTGGAGCACAGCACACCTCACGCCCCTGCCTTGAGTGTTTGGTCAAGCAGGACTTGACCTCACAGTACCCAGAGCCCACCTGCAGTTCCCTAGCAGTCCTCCCACCTCAGCCTCCCGAGTGCGGGATGACCGGTATGCATCGCCACACTCGCGTGCGCTTGAATTTTGGGAGCAGCTGTTGGGGTCCTCAGGGTCTGTGCTAGGCAGACCCCTTGCAATGATGGGGATGAGGTGGGCGTGGGCTCTTGTGGGAGTGGGGAGCCAGTTCCAGGGCCCCCTGAATCCGACCCCGGGCGGCCCAGGCTGCTGTGCCTCCTGGTCCTTAGGCTGATGCCTTGGCAGCCTTCACACCGCATGGGGCCGCCTGCAATGGTCAGAGCTCCATGGACTGCCTCCCAAGCAGCCCAGGCACAGGCGCCTCCGCCAGCCCCTCCCTGTGCAGTGTCAACAGGCCGAGGTAGCTTCCTGTTCTCCCCAGATACCCCGGGACCCTGGGAGCCCTTGTGCCGCCCCTGTCGTGCCCAGGGCCACGCTCATGCTGGCAAGAGTGCAGCGAGCTGGTGCAGCGCCCCGCTGGCACCTCTGGAGCTCATCTCTGCACACAAGTGGGGCAGCGTGGTGACCATGCTCGATGCTTGGCTTGCTACTCAAGAGGGGCCAGTAGGGTCCGGGATCCCTTGACTCCTCTTGGGACGGGCAACCGGTTCACTGCCGAGCTCTAAACTGGGCCTGCTTCTGTTCGCAGGTGAGCATGGCCGTGAAGGGGCCCCCAGCCCATCCAGGGCCCCCGTTCCTGGGAGGCCCCATGCCGTCCCACGTGGACTATGGGTCGCCGCCGCCACCACTGCTCTGCAGATCCTTCGGGCCTCGGCCGATGTCTCCTAGGCCACCGCAACCATTCGGTACCGTAGGACACTTGGGCCGGCACCACCGCCTACCCTGTCCTCTCGCCTGCCCTGTCCTCTCTCCTCACCTGTCCTGATTGGCAGCTGCAGCCCGCCTGACTTGAAGCACGAGGCCCAGCACTCTGAGCCCAGTGCAGCCTCCACAGCTGCTTGGACCAGAAGGGCCCTTTCGGCAGAGCGAAAGCCAGTCTCAGCGGGGTGGTCACCTGGGACGCCACAGGCCGCTGGCAGTGGGAGAAGGGAGGGTCAGGCTGTGGTTGAGCCTTACTGAGCCTCAGTTTTCCTTATCTGTGATGTCCAGTGCATCACTCGACTTCCTGGCACAGGGGAAGGGAAACCCTTTCAGCAGACCTGGGCTGCTCCTCAGGACGTGTCCGCATGTCCCTCTTGCTTTCCAGTTGCACGCATGGGCCCACCACTGGGCTTAAGAGACTATGCGCCCGGCATGCTGCCCGGACGCCACGACCTGCCGCTACATCCCCGCGAGTTCTTGCCTGGACCTGTGCCATTCAGGCCTCCAGGCCCGCTCGGCGCCCGAGCATATTTCATTTCGGATCTGCGAATGCCACCCGCTGGACTCCAAGACTACCGACCACCACCTGCCGGGCCCCAGGATAACCCACCGATGCCTGCCGGGCCCCAGGACAACCCACCACCGCCTGCTGGGCGCCAGGCCTACCCACCACCACGTGCCGGGCACCAGCACTACCCACCACCGCCTGCCAGGCCCCAGGACTACCAACCACCAAGTGCCGGGCTCCAGGACTACCCACCGCCGCCTGCCCGGCCCCACGACTACCCACCGCCGCCTGCGGGGGTCCCAGGAAAACCCACCACCAAGTGCCGGGCCTCAGGACCATGGATGGCCGCCCTCTGCGAGCCTAAACTTCGCATGCTGTGACATTCCCAGAGCCGACTTCGGTGAGCCTCTCCAGGGCCTCGAGTCCTGGGACTCCATGACAGCATGCTGCATTGCCCCGAGCATGGTTCCCTGGACTCTGGTACAGAGCCCGGGCACTCCTGGCTCGGGTTTCCACTTAGCCCTGGGTCCTGTGCAGGCCCACCTCCATTGCAGTGCAGGAGCAGGGTCCTGGGAGCAGTCGCCCACCCGGTCACTCCCAACCCTCTCTGGCTGTGGCATGGCAGAGTCCACAGTGTCGCCCTCTCCCTCTCTGCACAGTGTTCAATGAGTGGGCGCACTTTCGTCACCACTCACCTGCGGGCCACCAGGGACGGCTCCTGAGCTGGCAGGTCCGCGTGTTACTGGTACTGTGCCCTGCTCCCAAAGCACGTGGCCGCTGTGTGCGGACTCAGTCTTCCTTGGCCCTGTCTTCCTCCTCCACAGCCTGAGACCTAAAGCACCCTCCGCCTCTGGCTTGGGCTGCCACAACCCAGCTTTCCCAGCTCCCCAAGTCCGCGAAGTGCTGACCAGGTGGAGCCCGCACAGGCTGAGGCCTCCTTCGACCCCCCCACCCTTACTTGATGCCTGCTCAGTGAGCCTGGTACCTCTGGCTCCACTCGAGGGCTCCCTGGCCTCCTGCTCCCACGGGCCTTGCAGCTGCCTGTCAGAGGCAGCCATGCCTTTGCTCCCTCCAGGGACAGTCCTCGGGGCGCTGCAGTGTTCCCCAGTGCACATCTGAGGGCGTGCCCGAGGCCTCTTCCGGTCCTTGTCCTCATCCTCGTACTCGTCCCCATACTCGTCCTCGTCCTGCGAAAGTCCTCTGAGTGCCTTCTCTGCCCCCAGATCCCGGCCCTGGCCCCGTGGCCAACAGCAGCTCCCGCGGCTCCTCCCCAGCGAAGGACATGGACAACGCCAAGGTGAGCCTGGAGCCCGTGCCTGGGCCCAAGCCTCTCCATGTGCCTTCGGTTTCCACTCTGCTCTCCAGCTGGCCTGGCGTGATGACCCCGCTGACTAGGTCACCATCTGACTGGGCCTTCACTAAGGCTCAGGCCGCGTGCTGAGTGCTGGAGCACAGCACACCTCACGCCCCTGCCTTGAGTGTTTGGTCAAGCAGGACTTGACCTCACAGTACCCAGAGCCCACCTGCAGTTCCCTAGCAGTCCTCCCACCTCAGCCTCCCTCGTGCGGGATGACCAGTGTGCATCGCCACACTGGCGTGCGCTTGATTTTTGGGAGCAGCTGTTGGGGTCCTCAGGGTCTGTGCTAGGCAGATCCCTTGCAATGATGGGGATGAGGTGGGCGTGGGCTCTTGTGGGAGTGGGGAGCCAGTTCCAGGGCCCCCTGAATCCGACCCCGGGTGGCCCAGGCTGCTGTGCCTCCTGGTCCTGAGGCTGCTGCCTTGGCAGCCTTCGCACCGCATGGGGCCGCCTGCAATGGTCAGAGCTCCATGGACTGCCTCCCAAGCAGCCCAGGCCCAGGCGCCTCCGCCAGCCCCTCCCTGTGCAGTGTCAACTGGCCGAGGCAGCTTCCTGTTCTCCCCAGCTACCCCGGGACCCTGGGAGCCCTTGTGTCGCCCCTGTCATGCCTAGGGCCATGCTCATGCTGGCAAGAGTGCAGCGAGCTGGTGCAGCGCCCCCCTGGCACCTCTGGAGTTCATCTCTGCAAACAAGTGGGGACAGCGTGGTGACCATGCTCAATGCCTGGCTTGCTACTCAAGAGGGGCCAGCAGGGTCCCGGGATCCCTTGACTCCTCTCGGGACGGGCACCCGGTGTCACTGCCGAGCTCGAAACTGGGCCTGCCTTTGTTCGCAGGTGAGCATGGCCGTGAAGAGGCCCCCAGCCCATCCAGGGCCCCCATTCCTGGGAGGCCCCATGCCGTCCCACGTGGGCTATGTGTCACCGCCGCCACCATTGCTCTGCAGGCCCTTCGGGCCTCGGCCGATGTCTCCTAGGCCACCGCAACCATTCGGTACCGTAGGACACTTGGGCCGGCACCACCGCCTACCCTGTCCTCTCGCCTGCCCTGTCCTCTCTCCTCACCTGTCCTGATTGGCAGCTGCAGCCCGCCTGACTTGAAGCACGAGGTCCAGCACTCTGAGCCCAGTGCAGCCTCCACAGCTGCTTGGACCAGAAGGGCCCTTCCGGCAGAGCCCAAGTGCCAGTCTCACAGGGGTGGTCACCCGGGATACCACAGGCTGCTGGCACTGGGAGAAGGGAGGGTCAGGCTGTGATTGAGCCTTACTGAGCCTCAGTTTTCCTTATCTGTGAAGTCCAGTGCATCACTCCACTTCCTGGCGCAGGGGAAGGGAAACCCTTTCAGCAGACCTGGGTTGCTCCTCAGGACGTGTCCGCATGTCCCTCTTGCTTTCCAGTTGCACGCATGGGCCCACCACTGGGCTTAAGAGACTATGCGCCCGGCATGCTGCCCGGACGCCACGACCTGCCGCTACATCCCCGCGAGTTCTTGCCGGGACCTGTGCCATTCAGGCCTGCAGGCCCGCTCGGCACTCGAGCGTATTTCATTTCGGATCCGCGAATGCCACCACCACACCCGCTGGACTCCAAGACTACCTACCACCGCCTGCCGGGCCCCAGGAATACTCACCAACGCCTGCTGGGCCCCAGGACAACCCACCGCCGCCTGCCGGGCCCCAGGAATACCCACCGCCGCCTGCCAGGCCCCAGGACTACCCACTTCCGCCTGCCGGGTGCCAGGTCTACCCACCACCACGTGCCGGACCTCAGGACTATGCACCGCCGCCTGCCAGGTCCCAGGAGTACCAACTGCCACGAGTTGGGCCCCAGGACAACCCACAACACCGTACTGGGCCCCTAGAATACCCACCACTACGTGCCAGGCCCCAGGACTGCCCACTAACACGTGCCGGGCCCCAGGACTACCCACCACCACATTCCTGGCCCCAGGACTACCGACCACCACGTGCCGGGCCCCAGGACTACCCATCACCACCAGCTGGGCCGCAGGAATGCCAACCACCATGTGCCGGGCTCCAGGACAACCTGCCTCCTCCTACCAGGCCCCAACATTAACCACCGCCGCCTGCCGGGCCCCAGGACTACCCACCACTGCCTTCTGGGCCCCAAACTACCCACCGACACCTGCAGGGCCCCAGGACTGCCCACTGCCACCTGCTGGGCCCCAGGACGACCCACCACCACCTGCCAGGCCCAAGGGCTACCCACGACCATCTGCCGGGGCCCAAGACAACCCACCGCCACCTGCTGGGGCCAAAGACTAGCCACCACCGCCTGCCAGGCCCTAGGACTAGCCACAGCCACCTGCCGGGCCCCAACTGTCCAAAACTGCCTGCCCGGCCCCAGGACTACCCACCACTGCATGCCGGGCCCCAGGAATACCCACCGCCATCTGCCGGGCTCCAGGACTACCCACTGCCTTCTGCCTTCCACTGCCCCATGCTGGACCCCAGAACTACCCGCTGCCAACTGCCAGGCCCCAGGACAACACACCACCGCCTGCCAGTTCATACGACAACCCACCGCCACCTGCAGGGGCCGAAGACTAACCACCACCCCCTGCCAGGCCCTAGGACTAGCCACAGCCCCCTGCCAGGCTGCAGAACCGCCCACTGCCGCCTGCCGGGCACCAGGACTCCCCACCACCACCTGCCGGGCCCCAGGACTACACACCACCGCCTGCCGGGGCCCAGGACTAGCCACTGTCACCTGCGGGTCCAAAGGACTACCAACTGTCGCCTGCCAGGCCCCAAGACTAGCCACTGCCGCCTGCCACCGCCACCTGCAGGGCCCCAGGACTAGCCACAGGCACCTGCCAGACCCCAGGATTGTCCACAACCGCCTGCCTCGCCCCAGGACTACCCACCGCCTTCTGCCGGGCTCCAGGCCTACCCACTGCCCCATGCTGGACCCCAGCACTACCCACCGCCACCTGCGGGGGCTGAAGACTAAACACCACCACCTGCCAGGCCCTAGGATCCCTTCCAGAGAGGGAGTTGAATTTCATCAAGGAGGTGTTACATTTGCCATGAGCGTTACAGGAGGTGAAGGTTCTGGCCATAGGCACTGACAGAAGAGGCAAGCTCAGAGGACAACTAGTAATATTTGGAAAGCTAACTTGTACTAGGATGTCCTAGAATACTATTTTACTGTTTGTAGCTCATTGTTTGTATTCAAAATGGTTTGAATCTGCTATTTGTATTCATCAAAACCATCTCCATGCTTCCTCAGTACTGGAATCTTTTTTCTTCTCTGAATAACCCTGTGCTCAAAACCCTCTGAACACGTACTTAGATTGCATCCAAAGCTGTGGTCAAGAACAGGTACACAGGCAGCAGAGATCCTGGTTTTAAAAATGGTCCTTACTGATCTGTGTGACTTTATCATTTACTGCTTATGTAAACAATAAAAATTGAAAGAAGAGTCCTGTGTATATTACTTTTGGGCCAGATTTTATTTGGCTTTTAAACAGGCCACTAATGTGGTTAACATGGTTAACTTCATTTCTCTAAAGGATCAAAGATAGAAGGAAACAGAGAATAGAAAGGCAGAAGATTTTGCAAAATTGAGTGATCAGGTGGAAAATCAATCGAAGGCTACACAATATGGCTCTGTGTTCCCAACCAGACTCTGGCCCAGTCCCTGCCTTCTTCCAGCCTCATCAAGCCCTCCAGTATCATCAAGCCTCTCTGCTCATGGCTTCTCCTTTCTACAGCACATCCCTCCATCACATGCCTCTTGTCCACAGGGGCCTCCAGGTTCTCTTCTCAGCTTTCTCTCTCACATTACCCACTTCATGGAAATTTTCTTTCACTTTTTATTGTTTACATAAGCAGTAAATGATAAAGTCACACAGATCAGGAAGGACCATTTTTAAAACCAGGATCTCTGCTGCCTGTGTATCTGTTCTTGACCACAGCTTTGGATGCAATCTAAGTACGTGTTCAGAGGGTTTTGAGCACAGGGTTATTCAGAGAAGAAAAAAGATTCCAGTACTGAGGAAGCATGGAGATGGTTTTGATGAATACAAATAGCAGATTCAAACCATTTTGAATACAAACAATGAGCTACAAACAGTAAAATAGTATTCTAGGACATCCTAGTGCAAGTTAGCTTTCCAAATATTACTAGTTGTCCTCTGAGCTTGCCTCTTCTATCAGTGCCTATGGCCAGAACCTTCACCTCCTGTAACGCTCATGGCAAATGTAACACCTCCTTGATGAAATTCAACTCCCTCTCTGGAAGGGATCCTAGGGCCTGGCAGGTGGTGGTGGTTAGTCTTCAGCCCCCGCAGGTGGCGGTGGGTAGTCCTGGGGCCCGGCAGGCAGAGGTGAGTAGTCCTGGGGCCCGTATCATGGTGGTGGGTGACCTGGGAGCTGGAGGCAGCGGTGGGTAGTCCTGGAGCCCGGCAGGCAGTGGTGGGCAGTCTTGGAGCCAGGCAGGTGGCAGTGGGTGGTCCTCGGGCCCTACCAAGGTTGGTGGGTAATCCTGGGGCCCGGCAGGCATGGGTGGATAGTCCTGGGGACCGGCAGTCGTTGGTGGGTAGTCCTGGGGCCCAGCATGGGGCAGTGGATAGTCCGGGAGCCCTGCAGATGGCGGTGGGTTGTCCTGGAGCCCGACAGGTGGTGGTGGGTATTCCTGGGGCCCGGCGGGGGCTGTGGGTACTCCTGGGGCCCTGCAGTCAGTGGTCAGTAGTCCTGGGGCCCGGCAGGTGGTGGTTGGTAGTCTGGAGACCAGCAGGTGGCAGTGAGTACTCTTGGGTCCCTGCAGGCGGTAATGTGTAGTCCTGGGGCTCGGATCGTGGTGGTGGGTGGCCAGGTGCCTGGCAGGTGGCGGTGGGTAGTCTTGGGGCCCGGCAGGTGTTGGTGGGTAGTCTGGGGCAGGCAGTAGGCGGTGAGTTGTCCTTAGGCCCGGCAGGCCCGGGTGGGTAGTCCTGGGGCCCGGCAGTTGGTGGTGGGTAGTGCTGGGGCTCAGCATGCAGCAGTGGGTAGTCCTGGAGCCTGGCAGATGGTGGTGGGTATTCCTGGGGCCCGGCTTGCGGTGGTGGGTAGTCCTGGGGCTGGGCAGGCAGTTTTGGACAGTTGGGCTCGGCAGGTGGCTGTGGCTAGTCCTAGGGCCTGGCAGGCGGTGGTGGCTAGTTTTCGGCCCCGGCAGGTGGCAGTGGGTTGTCTTGGGCCCGGCAGATGGTCATGGGTAGCCCTTGGGCCCAGCAGATGATCATGGGTAGCCCTTGGGCCCGGCAGGTGCTGGTGGGTAGCCCTTGGGCCCGGTAGGTGCTTGTGGGTCGTCCTGGGGCCCAGCAGGTGGCGGTAGGCAGTCCTGGGGCCTGGCAGGTGTCGGTGGGTAGTTTGGGGCCCAGCAGGTGGTGGTGGGTAGTCCTGGGGCCCGGCAGGTGGCGGTGGTTAATGTTGGGGACTGGTAGGAGGTGGCAGTTAGTCCTGGGGCCCGGCACATGGTGGTTGGCATTCCTGCGGCCCAGCTGGTGGTGATGGGTAGTCCTGGGGCCCGGCACGTTGTGGTCTGTAGTCCTGGGGCCCAGCACGTGTTGCTCGGTAGTCCTGGGGCCAGGCATGTGGTGGTGGGTAGTTCTGGGGCCTGGCATGTAGTGGTGGGTATTCTTGGGGCCCGGAACGGGGTTGTGGGTTGTCCTGGGGCCCAACTCGTGGCAGTTGGTACTCCTGGGACCTGGCAGGCGGCGGTGCATAGTCCTGAGGCCCGGCACATGGTGGTGGGTAGGCCTGGGGCCCGGCAGGCGGTGGTAGGTAGTCTTGGAGTCCAGCGGGTGGTGGTGGCATTCGCGGATCCGAAATGAAATGCGCTCGGTCGCCGAGCGGGCCTGGAGGCCTGAATGGCACAGGTCCTGGCAAGAACTCGCGGGGATGTAGCGGCAGGTCGTGGCGTCCGGGCAGCATGCCGGGCGCATAGTCTCTTAAGCCCAGTGGTGGGCCCATGCGTGCAACTGGAAAGCAAGAGGGACATGCGGACACGTCCTGAGGAGCAGCCCAGGTCTGCTGAAAGGGTTTCCCTTCCCCTGCGCCAGGAAGTGGAGTGATGCACTGGACTTCACAGATAAGGAAAACTGAGGCTCAGTAAGGCTCAACCACAGCCTGACCCTCCCTTCTCCCAGTGCCAGCCGCCTGTGGCATCCCGGGTGACCACTCCTGTGAGACTGGCACTTGGGCTCTGCCGGAAGGGCCCTTCTGGTCCAAGCAGCTGTGGAGGCTGCACTGGGCTCAGAGTGCTGGGCCTCATGCTTCGAGTCTGGCGGGCTGCAGCTGCTCATCAGGACAGGAGCGGAGAGAGGACAGGGTAGGCGAGAGGACAGGGTAGGCGGTGGTACTGGCCCAAGTGTCCTACCGTACCGAATGGTTGCGGTGGCCTAGGAGGCATCGGCCGAGGCCCGAAGGGCCTGCAGAGCAATGGTGGCGGCGGTGACCCATAGCCCACGTGGGGCAGCATGGGGCCTACCAGGAACGGGGGCCCTGGATGGGCCGGGGGCCCCTTCACGGCCATGCTCACCTGCGAAGAAAAGCAGGCCCAGTTTAGAGCTCGGCAGTGACACCGGGTGCCCGTCCCGAGAGGAGTCAAGGGATCCCCAGACCCTGCTGGCCCCTCTTGAGCAGCATGCCAGGCAGCGAGCATGGTCACCACACTGTCCCCACTTGCATGTGGAGAGGAGCTCCAGAGGTGCCAGCGGGGCGCTGCACCAGCTCGCTGCACTCTTGCCAGCATGAGCATGGCCCTGGGCACGACAGGGGCGACACAAGGGCTCCCAGGGTCCCGGGGTAGCTGGGGAGAACAGGAAGCTGCCTCGGCCAGTTGACACTGCACAGGGAGGGGCTGGCGGAGGCTCATGTGCCTGGGCAGCTTGGAAGGCAGTCCATGGAGCTCTGACCATTGCAGGCGGCCCCATGCGGTGCGAAGGCTGCCAAAGCAGCAGCCTCAGGACCCAGGAGGCACAGCAGCCTGGGCCGCCCGGGGTAGGATTCAGGGGGCCCTGGAACCGGCTCCCCACTCGCACAAGAGCCCATGCCCACCTCATCCCCATCATTGCAAGGGGTCTGCCTAGCACAGACCCTGAGGACCCCAACAGCTGCTCCCAAAATTCAAGCGCACGCGAGTGTGGCGATGCACACCGGTCATCCCGTACTCGGGAGGCTGAGGTGGGAGGACTGCTAGGGAACTGCAGGTGGGCTCTGGGTACTGTGAGGTCAAGTCCAGCTTGACCAAACACTCAAGGCAGGGGCGTGAGGTGTGCTGTGCTCCAGCACTCAGCACGCGGCCCGAGCCTTAGTGAAGGCCCAGTCAGATGGTGACCTAGTCAGCGGGGTCCTCATGCCAGGCCAGCTGGAGAACAGAGTGGAAACCGAAGGCACATGGAGAGGCTTGGGCCCAGGCATGGGCTCCAGGCTCACCTTGGCATTGTCCATGTCCTTCGCTGGGGAAGGAGCCGCAGGAGCTGCTGTTGGCCACGTGGCCAGGGCTGGGATCTGGGGGCAGAGAAGACACTCAGAGGACTTTCCCAGCACGAGGACGAGGACGGGGACGAGGATGAGGATGAGGATGAGGACGAGGACCGGAAGAGGCCATGGGCACGCCCTCGGAAGTGCCCTGGGGAACACTGCAGAGCCCCGAGGACTGTCCCTGGAGGGAGCAGAGGTATGGCTGCCTCTGACAGGCAGCTGCAAGGCCCGTGGGAGGCAGGAGGCCAGGGAGCCCTTGCATGGAGCCAGAGGTACCAGGCTCACTGAGCAGGCATCAAGTGAGGGGGGGGGGGTCGAAGGAGGCCTCTGAGCCTGTGCGGGCTCCACCTGGTCAGCACTTCGCGGACCTGGGGAGCTGGGAAAGCTGCACTGTGGCAGCCCAAGCCAGAGGCGGAGGCTGCTTTAGGTCTCAGGCTGTGGAGGAGGAAAACAGGGCCTTGGAAGACTGAGCCTGCACACAGAGGCCACATGCTTTGGGAGCAGCACACAGAACCAGTAACATTCAGACCTGCCTAGCTCAGGAGCCGTTCCTGGTGGCCCGGAGGTGAGTGGTGACGAAAGTGCGCCCACTCATTGAACACTGTGCAGAGAGGGAGAGGGCGACACTGCAGCCTCTGCCATGCCACAGCCAGAGAGGGTTGGGAGTGACAGGGTGGGCGACTGATCCCAGGACCTTGCTCCTGCACTGCAGTGGTGGTGGGCCTGCACAGGGCCCAGGGCTAAGTGGAAACCCAAGCCGGGAGTGCCCGGGCTCTGTACCAGAGCTCAGGGAACCATGCCCGGGGCAAGGCAGCATGGTGTCCCAGAGTCCAGGACTCGAGGCCCCGGAGAGGCTCACCGAAGTTGGCTCTGGGAATGTGGCAGCATGCAAATTTCAGGCTCCCAGAGGGCGGCCATCCAGGAGGCTCTGCACCTGGGGGCAGGGAGCACTCACCACCACTCACAGGGGACCGGCCCAAGGAGCCCTTCTGGCTCGGGACCTGAGGAGACAACACACGCGCTGGTTAGCCGTTCTCTGCAGTGGCTAAGTTCCCCGAGTCCCACTCAGAAGGACAGAGTGCCCACCTCTGTGGGGCGCGTCCTGCACTCCATGACAGTCCGGCATCCGCTTGATGATCCCCGGCTCCTCTTTAAGCATATCCAGCTTCTGGGTAATTTCCACCAGCCTGCACACAGACACAGTAGGGCTGGGGGTGACCATAGCCACCCTGAGTGGTCTAAAACGTGGGCGCCACGCATTGCATTGCGCCACGCGCTGCTAACCTCTGCCGCAGGTTGGCGGCCTGCTGCTTCTCATCTGCCACCAGGCGCTCTGCATGTCGGGCTTTGAACTGTGGAGACAGAGAGGCCAGCTCAGCACAGTGGCTGAGTGAAGCTGCAGAGGTCAAGGCGGGGCAAGGCGAAACAAGGCGAGGAGGAGGCTCTTACCCAGTTCTCATGGGCTTTTTTCTTCTCAGTAGCAAGCTGCAAGAGAACACGGCAAGACACAGGTTGAGGGAACAGTCACCGGGGATGCAGCCCTCCATGACTCCTGTGTGGGGGATTAACGGATGCTGTCACCACAGTGCACTCTATTCCTTGCCTGGTTTTTAAATGAGCGCTCCATTTTCTCTAATTCTGCTTCCACTTCACCGATTCGCCGCCTAAAAATAATACTTAGCAGTTAGAATCAAATAAATTCTGAAACAATCTGACCATGTCTGACCTTTTAAGACTTCATCATACAGAAACATTTCATAACGTGATGAGTGCAGTGTGAACCTCAGTTTCCTGATTTTTCATTTAATGCCTAGAGCTTATGAGATGACAACTTGTCAATTTCCTTAACTGTCCTTGAATTATATTCTCAAAATAATCTGGCTAAGGCTACCTTCCCCATAAAGGTTTTTCCCTCAGGGGCTGGGGATTTAGCTCAGAGGCATAAGCACCTGCCTTGCAAGCGGGTGGGTGGTCCTAACTTTGATCCGCGGTACTGATAAAAAAAGAAGGTTTTCCCCTCAAATTATAGCCACAAGAAATGACTCAAAATGCTGCCCCCAGTCTGTCGGAGCACTGAGACTCTGGTGAGTATAGATGTGTGACAGAAGCAAGCCGATTTCCTAAAAATGGGCACAGGACACATCTGCAAAGGAGCTACACTGTTAAGCTTTGGTCTGTTAATGTAGAAGCCCTCCCTGTGTGAGTTAAATACATTCCATTCTTGGACTTCTCATGTGCTTCTGTGCCCATCTCTTCTATGTAACAAAGCAACTCAGCCCAGTTCCTCTGTCTCGGACGCCACACTCACTTGTAGATTTTCACCGCCTCTGTGGCCGGCACCACCTTCTCATCCACAGCCGACAGCGCCTGCTCTCGCTGCTGCTGTGCACATTCCGCCTGACTCGGTATCCTAGGAGAAAGGCAGCTGCCAGGGCTGAACTCGGCCCACAGGCCACTTCCCCACCCAGCAACAGGCACAGGGTTTCAGGAGGGCAGTCAAGCTCCAGGCTCTGGGCCATTTGCTTGTGTTCTTATATTCTCTCACCTCTCGTTGTAATTGTCTAATCGGCAAACAGAACAAGCTAAGAGCAAGCATGCGCCAGGCTCTAGCTGCCTGTGTGGGAGATGAGTGTACCCCGAGGGAAGCCAGGATTGTCCAGCAGAGCTGCTGGGAAAGCAATAGGCGGAGTCCACCTCCCCCGCTTCCCCCATACTGTCAGGGAAGAGCTGTTCCTCTAGACCTAGGCCATGATAAGCACACAAGATAGGCCGAATGGGTGGACGGGAGCCTTGGCCCCAGCCAGAAAGGGAAATGTGGGCCCCAGAGGCCAGTGCTGCCCTCCCTCAACCCACACATGGAGGACAATGCCAAAGATGCTGACCTGAGCCCTCTAAAAATCCCTAGGCTTCAAGAAACAAGCAGTGGAGCTGAGGCTACAGAGGCAGGGACGCTGGGCCCAACTGCTAGCTGGATGATGGTGACAGCGGACAGGCAGGAGCAGCCTCAGGTCGCCATCACAGGAAACCAGCAGCACCCTGGGCCCCAAGTTTCCCCTATGATCACTGCACATCTAAGCTGCTAGGCAATCAGAAGTGACAGGAATGGCCAGCATGAGACACTGGACAAAATCTCTGGGACTCACTTCTGCAGCTCCAGCTCCTTCTGGTGGGACAGCTCCTTCAGGACCTCCACCTTCTGCTGCAGCATGCTAAACTCCTCCTCCAGCCGGGCCTTGTCCGCCTGCAGCCTGCCGCAGTCCTCACCTAGCTTCACTATCTGGTCTGGGAGGTGAGACACGTCACCAAGGGCACTGCCAAAGACACAGAACCAGGCTCCCAGCATCCCTGCCTCATTCATGCCGGCACTCAGCCTGACCACCATGCGGTCAGGGACCTACCTTCCAGATCACATCTGTCAGACAGGGAGGCTCTCAGCTTCGACTGCAGGAGTTGGAGATCTTTCTGAAATACGGATATTGCGGGATGTGTCTGAAAATTGTGAGGGAGGGGCACAGGCTTGAATGTAAGGCTCAGTCAGGACTCAGGGGCCCCGGGGGTCTCTGTGAAGGGACTCACCCGGGAGACATCCATCAGCTGGTGCATGTGAGCCTTCTTATTTTCCCCACCTACAAAGAGAACAAGTGTGGCTGTGTCTTCCTGTGCCGTTGCTAACACTGTGTTCTTGACTTCCACAAAACTAAACTAATGCTCATGACACACTGTAAAGAAAAACAATTCACCAACAGAACTGACACACTGACTTTCATGACAACTGCACCCTTAGATTTTGTGAGCTCCTGCCAAGACAGCATGCCACATGGTCTAGGGGGAGCTGGCCGGCGTGGGTCCAGACTCGCACTCTGAGCACCCTCTGCAGCTGGGGCGGCACCCTGACCACTTTCCTCATCTCAGACCCTGCTGCTCTCCAGCCTCTGCCCTCACAGCCTGGGCTGTGGCTCCCCATCCCCACATACTAGGTGACCCTGGCCAAGTGCCTGAGAACCACAGAACAGCAGAGGCCATGCGTACGGACCCATGTGTCATCTCCAGAAAGCTGAGTGACTTTCCTCTCTGGCACAGAGGCCGACACAAAGGCGAAGGCTCCAGCATACACATCCAGTTCTCAGGGGTGGAAAAGCAGCTTTCCCCGCTTGCCTGCTGTGACTGCACCCCAGTGACCCAGACATAAGTACGAATTATTCAGATGTTGGGAGCCATTGAAGCTGGAAACCGACCACACGTGCAGAGCCAGGGCATGGCTGGCCCAAGAACAAAGAGTCCCTGGGGTTGCCATGTGAAGAAGCTGCCTCAGCCCAGAGATCACCAAGCCCCAAGACAATCTCAACAGTGGGCTGCTAGGACAACAGGGTTTCACATGACATTAAGTTGGATCACTTCAAATGAATGTCATTTGCCACGAGAAAAAGAAACTTTAGGATACAGATCTACACTGCTGTCTCTCGAGCTCCTGTGCCGATAAACCTATAGGGGCTGAGGTGTCCCTAGCACAGACACACTGTCCTCTCTCCACACCTGTGTGATCCAGCCACGCTCTGTCTGCTCCAAGTAAGCAGTCACCCCTGCCCCCACATCTCCTAGCTCAGCCGGTACCATCACCCTCCCCACTATACCATGGTTAGTAGCAACAGTAAAATGTGGAGCAGTTAGTGAGTCAAATCAGACACCAAAGTCACTGTCGCTCCTAGCCTGCCTAAAAGTCCTCCCAAACACCAACAGGAAGAGATTTACCTTGGTATATTGTCTCCTTTACTTAGAAGAGAAAGAGAGAAATTTGATGTCAAACATTTGATTAAAAGGAATGCATAGTTCCTAACACAAGTCAGGATCATAACCAAGTGAAAATTTAGTAACTTTAGTTCAGAATAAACCCATACAATTAAAAATGTATTATAAGTAACCTGTGATACAGAGGAACAGTAAGGAGCGTGTCTTACTTCACAGCTACACACAGGCTTGTGTGCCAGGACCAAGTGAACACCAGGCTTCTGAGATGAGCATTTGGCTTCAATAGTGAAATGCTTGTTTTTATAATACACACATTATTGATTTACTTACTTAAAATTACTTGACAATCCCAAAAGCAAGCATGCAGTCTAGAAATGGGTAACCATATGGAAGACTGGCGAGTGAGATTACCAGCATAACCTTTGCACTAAGATACACCTCTCTCACCCACTGGAAGATACCTCAGAAACCCTATTTCAAGTGATCTATTGACTCAATTAAGAAATAATCTAATACAGCTCATCATCTGATTTCCCCAGACCACAAAAACAGTAATAAATCTAAGCAGAAGGGAAGACACCAGAAGAACACAGAGAAATGACAGCTAACGGCTTCCAGGAAGAGCACAGACCCAGTTCTTCCTCCCGGTGCCTTCTGGGGTCATAAATCCTAAACTGCAACTAATTAAATACCACGGCAGCGATCACTGCATTTCTCTGTAATGCAGACTCTGTCTTCCCCTTCCAAGTGCTATAAACAGTATAGGACAGCAGAGCGCAGTGGCCAGCTGAGGGGCGTGGGGGGGAGGGCGACTGTGCTCTCCAGGATCAGGAGTGTCCCCTCAGAGCCATGTGACCTCAGGGAGTGGGAGGAAGTGAGCCCAGGGGCAGGGTGTGAAGCTGCAGGGCTGAGCCTGAGAGCCCTGCTGGGTAGCAGCTGCAGGGGAACCAAAGGAGAGGAGCAGGGGAAACAGCACCTTTTCACCCCCAAACACTCTGCGTACCCTTCCAGGCGTGCTTTCATCCAAGAAGCTGTTCAGTGAGATTCCAGAAGTCCTCACAGGAATCTTTCATAGGGTGCTGTTTTGGGCTTCTTTTTGGTGGTACCTGGGACAGGGCCTTCACAATGAACTACATTCTCAGCCTTCCCATATTTCTTGAGACAGGCTCTTGGTAAGTGACCAAGTTGCCCAGGCTGGGCTCAAACTTGCACTTCTCCTGTCTCAGCCTCCCTCTCCTCCAGGGCTGCAGGAATGCTCACACCACTCTGCCTGATCTTGCCTGGATGTTTCTACCATCTTACTGTATTTCTTGCCCTGTATGTTTCTACAGCACAGTTCATCAGTACCTCATGGTCTGTTTCCCCTTTTCCCACTTCACATTAAATCGTGAACACCTTCTTTGCCCCCTGCCTTTGAAATACATACAGCAGCCTAATATTCTGTTCTGTGGATATGAATAAGATGAAACATGATATTCCCTAATATAGATCATTTAGGTTTCACCAAGTTATAACTCTATTAAATACTACATCTAATACCTTTGTATAAAATCTTAACATGTAATTTATTTCTTTAAGATCACTTACTGATGTTATTATACCATATAAAAGCAATTTATATTTCTTATCCGGTTTTGTATCCCATTTTAAAGGCTTATGATATATAGAATTATTGAACTGGTTTTCAGGATGGGTGTACGAGTCACCAACTCTACTAACAAGTGGATATGGTTAGCTTGCTCTTAAGTCTTTGCCAGTACCAAGATTAAATTATTTCAGAAAACTAACTTGAATTATAACCACTGATTTGTTTATGTTAATAACTGAAAGGGCCAATGATAATAGAATCCTAGATATATTCAGAAGTCAAAGAACAAGTTAATTCACTCACTGGAAAAACATTCCTCCACAAGAAAATCGCAAGCATAAGGATTCCAACACAGGTAGTGAGCAATACAGGCTCCCAGGGGAGCCCATAAAAGTCTCCAGGCCCAGGCGGGAGATTCTCAGGTAACACTGCAACCAGCTGAAAAGGAAGGCCACAAATAACGGAAACCCGTTAACAGAACTGGCGGAGCAATCACAAAGGATCATCACAGATACTCTCGATCTACTCTCCATAGTCTAAACCAACTTCCAGGTGCCCTGTAGAAACTTCCGGAAAGGGGATACAGTCAGGCTCACTTTCTTGTCCCATATGTGGAGTCTCTAAACTTAGGGAGTGAGTTGAGCCTATTTCCCAGTTGGCCAACAGCCCTTCTTCATCGCAGTGTCTCACGCATGGCCCAGATCACGCTTAAGTGAGCTGTTTTCTATTACTGCACACGCGCGCGCACACACACACACACACACACACACACACACAAACACACACCCCACATTGTAAATACATGATAGAAGCCATCAGTTTTTGCGTCTGCAAACAAAAGCACTATGACAATGATCTCCACAAATCAGGCATCACTCCTCCAGGAGGCTGCGTCTCAATTCGGTGCACCCGCAGGAAACAATCCTTGCAAGGAAACAGGTGGGGCGTGAATGTGGCTCCCAAGGCCATGGCTGGCTTCAGACCATGCCGCTCCCTCAGGACAGCCCGGCCCTCTGCAGTCCACACCACGCTCCTGCCATTAGGTACCTTCTGAAGGGACCGTCCCACCAGCGGGCGACCAGCGCCCCTTGCCCAACCCTGGTTCCCCCGCCTCACCTTCAGTAGCAGGTCGACAAAGGCCGAGTACAGCTTCGACAGGGGCTTCAGCAGCTCGGGGGTGCCCGGGGACACGAAGACCCCGGCTACAGTGGCTGATACCGTGTCCATAGCAAAGGACCGCTCGCTGCAGACCCGGCCGGACCCAGCAGTGGCAAAGAAGTCTTTCCCAGTGGCAGTGGCAGCAGAGGGCGGAACTGAACAGCTATACCTTCGGCTTTCTGCTGCTCTATGAACCATAAACATAGGTAACAGAGGGTCTCCAGGACCACCACAAAGCTGCAGGGGCGGGGTGGGAGCGTCCAGTGAAGGAGGCCGGCGGGTGGAGCGCCCAACGGGAGGGCGGCCGGGGGCGGGGTCCCATGGCCCCTGAGCAAGGCTAGCCAATAGCCGCGCTAGGGCACCAAGCTCAGGCGCCTTCACCGCTGGACCTGGGCACCAGGCCTTGCAAGTGCCGTTACGTGGCTGCTGGCCTGGCTGGCACCTTTGCCCGGGTGGGGCGGGGCCACACGTCAAAGTTCAGGGTGCAGACCCCTGGTGCGGCTGGTCACCTCAGAGCCAGGTCCGAGTCCAAGGTGGCTGGCATTGTAGGTGACAGAGCCTCCCCTTGTTATTCACAGTGTGGATTAAAAGGATCAGCAACTGATGGCAGAAACAAACGACTGTATCAATAAAGCGTTGGGTGATTTTTTCTATGTACTCAACAGGTCTTTCCTGATTATGTCTCAAAAATCAAGAAGCAAAAAGGGAAAAGACTGTAAATCTGATTACTTAAGGCAAAACAGAAAGAAAACGTGGAAAGGAAAGTTTGTAAATGGATAAGGGGAGGAACGTTGAAGGGAGGGTAGCGGAATGGGAAAGTAAACAGTACCATGTAGAGGTACAAATCCTCTATGATGATCATTAGGTATGTCCCAAATGTACCAATAAATGTAACTGAAGTGAAA